GGGAGTCAATGCGGTCAGCGTGTCCCATCTTCGAATATAACATAAAAGAGTACGAAGCAAGTCACCTTTTCTGGGCTATGTGTGGCCAATCCGGGCGTGTTAGAGATGGAGGGAGTGCAAAAGCCGACAGAAGCGACGCATGAATGGATGTTCGCATGCCACAGGGTATAGCGTTCTCCAGTAGTGCCTCGGATCAAGCTCAGAAGATTCAGGTCTTCCTCATTTGCCGTTATTCGAAAATGGCTCACATAGTCCCGCATCGAATACATAGGATCGGGCGGTGGGTCAGTGAAGGTCAAAATTGCAGAGGGGGGGCACGATGGGCTACGGGTGGTGACGGAATTGACCGTCCTCCAACAAATAGGCGCCGGCCCTCCCACATCATAGCCGTCGTAGGGGTCGTAATCCTTTGTTATGGATATTTCTTCTTCGGTAGGCATGGCTTGAAGGTGGTGGTACGGGAAAGCTACCCCGAATCGGTGATGCGTAAATGGAGCGGAAGTTGCTGCTGCCATCTTTCCAAGGTTGATTACCGCGAACAGGAAGAATGCGGCTTTAATGCGCGGAGGTCGTGTGTAAGAATAGATTTGCAGCATTTGATAGATTGAGATGCTCGATGGATGTCCTGTACATTGGTTGAAAAAGCATGTTTTTGAGCGATCGTCAGAGGTGGTGTGCGTAAGACACCTAGGACTTGAGGGGATCAGAGACATAACTCATTGCTTGAGCTTGATCATCTATGGTGCTTCAAAAAGCACATGCTTTTTAAAAAACTTTGTTCGATATCGTGCTAAGAACATGAAAAATTACTTGACATTTTGGAGAGCACAGCGGTCAGCCAAAAAGTTTTCGTCAAAATTGTCTTTGACACGGTTGGCACAATTTGTCTGGCATGTTCATTAATTGTACAATTCTTCACAATTAAGAGAGCTACAAATCCAAAATTTGGGGCTACCTTTATATGTTCACAATATAGTCACATTATTTAGGATTCGCTTTTTGGGACACTTGAAAAAGAGGCAGGAGGTATTGGCCGTGAACGTTTCCCCCCCGCTCCTCCTAAACGGCTGGTAACGGCAGGAAACGGGGGGAAGCGACGTAAAAATGATACGGCGCCCGGGTTTTCTCAACAGCGTCTTGAATTATTCAGCTTTTGTATTCCGGTATCCCACAAGTAAGGGAAAAGTGTCTTTTGCTTTGCAATCTTGTGCACTTACTTTCTGAGAGAAAAAATATACCGCTCGAGAATTTGCACCTGATATTTGCTTCTTTGGCTCCTACAGCATCTACACTATGTATACTTTACATGAACGAACAGTCGTATAGCAGTACTACTTACATTTACCCTCAATTCTTGCGATTTTCGGCTGAAATTTTGTTTTCCTGCCGGATAAACTTCCAGACGGGTGCATTTTGGGCTGCAAGTTGTTCCAGGTTTGCACATGGTCCTGCATCGTACATGGACATCTCCGCGCTTATGAGTCATGGCCAAAGCGAATTGTTCATGACGTGTGCTTCTGACCCCCTTGACTCCCCCTTTCCTCCCCCAAAAAACGATACGATGCATATACAACCCGTCTCTTCGCCTCTTCCTCTTCTCTGCCTACTGGCTCCCTCTCCTCCTGCCCCTCCCTCCCACCCCTTGCAACAGGCTCGTTTGTATCTGAACTCACGTCACATTGCGGGCAAAAAGGGGTGATCAGCGGCAAAGACTGGCGCAAGCGCAACGGCAAGGCCTGAAGTGAGGGCCCCAGCTGCTTGTAACCCCCGTTCTCCCGGCTCCGTTTCCAGCGATAGAAACCCAAATGCGGGAGCGATCCGCAGGTAGGACAGGGCGAGAGGGGCAGGGGATGAATGAAGGAACCTTGCAGGGCGAGGTGCAAGAGAGGATCGGCCGGCGTGCCCTCCACTCCTCCCTGCACCTCCTCCGCCG